CCCCCCCCCCCCCCCCCCCACACAGCCATGACCAACTACCAAGTCGTCCAGAGGGTCCCAACGGGCTACAGGATGCCAAGCCCCCCCAACTGTCCCAAAGTCATGCATAACATTATGATGGAATGCTGGAAGGAGAGCGAAGGGGATCGGCCCACATTCGAGACCCTGCAGTGGAAGCTGGAGGACTTCTTCGACCTGGACGTGACGTCGTACGACGACGCCAGCCGTTACTAGCACACTGACGAGTCTGGGACAAGCGGAAGGAAAGAAACAAAAAAATCATATTGTTTCTGCGCTGAAGCCAAATCAAAAATCACCTGAATCCAAACATGAACATACGTCGATGTTTTTAATGACACAACAGATTGAAATGTGATTTAATAACTAGTTTGCGGTGAAATTAAGGATCTAAAATGTTTGAGCTTGATAGAATGGTGTGTCTGTATCTGACATGCAGTGAGGAAGCCTTTACTGCTGCAGCACTGCCAAGGTTTGGCTTTGTTTGACAACTGAATGCGTGTATCTGGAAGTGCTTGACTCATAGAAGAACACGCGATTGGAAGACGCCTCTTTCAGCAGAGACACAAAGCTGCGATCTGACTATCTCGACGGACTGGTTCTTCTTGCACCTGGTAGGTACCTGAGAGGAGTCGTCAGTCATGTTTGCTTGTAAGCTCGATCTGTTTGGCGTGTGCTGATCATATGTAAATCTAGAGTAAAGTCAACGCCCTCCATTCAAAATCAAATAGTTTTTTACTTCAGGCCCGTTGTGCCACTAATAACTGCAACAAGAGCTAAAAACAAGTGGACACAGTCAGGTTTGTACAAAGCCCTGCAAGTGACCAGGAGGGGAAATAAATTCATGGGCACAAACGACTGGAGCTTAACATTAAATTATATTTACAACTCTTATTTAATGCTGGATTCATTGTTTTTGCTACTTTAGGGTTGAGCGCATCAAGTTGAAGGTATTAGCAACTCATTACACATCCAGCAGACACAGAGCAACAGCAGCATTCATTTGTCGTATTTCTGGCCTCCTGATGAATCAAAGTCAAACATTCCATCTCTTTCAGCTTTGTTGCAGAACAATGTCGCTCTCTTTAGCTGATAAACGAGCCACTATGTTCACCAGCTAGTTGCTAACTTTGTTACTGCTTGTACGCTACCTGCTCGGTTCAGTGTTTTTTGTTTTTTTTTTTTGTTTTTTTTTAAGCTAGATGGAGATTTTTCTGCCCATTAAAACATTTTACCGTTAACTTCTACATCCCTTTAACGCATGTTAAAGATTGTTTAATGTTCTGTTAATTTGTGTGCAAAAAATGAAGTCTTTCAAGAGCACAGATGGTTATTCTGTGTGCACACTGGGATTTGTTATGCACATTTATACCTGCCAGTCCATTTGCCCCTGGTGGCTACATTACATCACTACACCCACAAATCTGCAGTGACCTCATCCCTTTCTGCTCTCATAGCGGGGTACATTAATTGAATACATATTTTTGTTGGTCTTACATACGGGGGACTTGCAGTATAGTTGCTCAACGACTGAACAATGTGAAACTAGACAATCTCTCTGAATGATTTTTAACGCTGCTCTCAGATCTGTGGCCACGTGTATGTTTGAACCTGGTGGATTATCTCGTGCTCTAATGATTGTAAATAATGTTTTCAGTGTCATGAACAAAATCTTGTTAATTGTACATTTTAACCATGAGTGTTTCTATAATCCTACTGTATGTTATAATTATCCGTTATACATGGCATAATAAAATGATTTATATTTACTACAATGTTTGGTTATCGGTTTGGATTTGGAGAAAGAAAAATGCAATTGTAAAGCTTGTGTTTTGAATTAGGTAAACAACATCATACATAAGATTTGCCAGTGAAAAAAAGAGAGGTTTGTTAATGAACTAAATCAGAATTCTTATTTCTCACTTGCCTCTCAGGACTCCTGTAACATAGTAATCAATCGGGAACACAGAAGAAAATTATACAAATGTACAGGATGAGTACATTAGATGAAAGGAGGATGTAAATCAGAAAGATCTCACACTTAAGTAACTTAAAGTTAAGAAGAAAAACAATCAGACGATCACTTCCCCAAATAAATGAGGAAAAGAAAATATGCTCTGTTGGCTGTAATGACAAAAATAGTTCTGCTTACCCAGCACAGCCTGCCTTTATCCAGGTTTAATGTATTCATATTTCCTCATCACACCCCATTTACTGAGCTTTTACAGGGTTGTCTCTCGCATCACTTTGCTCTTTCAAACACCGATCCATTTTGTGTCCCTGCATCCGTTTGATTTTCTACACGCTTTAATATCAGTGTGTACATTTATAAAAGCTTAATAGTTTTAGCAGAAGTACATGGGCTTTCCTGAAAAATACACCTACATGTAATTTCTCAATTTGGCCACACAGTGGCGCTGACACTCTCCTGCAGCCGCTCATACCTCCTGATATGACTGTAGCCAGCAGAGTCGGTCACTACAACCAGTCTTATGTGACAGTTTGAACCTCCACCTTTAGTGCAGACGTAACTTTTACATATTATAGTGTCCTCTCATATGTATTCCTGCTATACATCCCTCGCGGTTTCTGTGTGTGAGCAGCATGAAATCAGAGTTGGTGGCAGGATGCTGTGACACCAATGACCTCAGAGAAATGTATCTTGATTGATAACTTTCAGCCGTAGACGGGCGTGTGTTCTACACTTGATTACTCGGGTCAAAATCAACAAGTCCTGAATTTGCGGGTAATTCCAGATTATACTGTGAGTTGAGACGCATGTGTGTCATTTAAAAATAATCCATCATAGGGCAACAGCTGTTTATATCCTCGAAAATCACACAGATCAAAACACTTGAGACTGAAGCGATGATATTTATGGCCGCCTTTAATCAGACTTGAGATATGTCCATTGCCATGAACGTTTGCCAGAACAATATTCACTGGGGATGCTTCACAGATTGGTTGGCTAAATAAAGATATCATCTTGAGAGTATTGTTGCACTTCCCTCCAGAAACATGACCAGAATTCCATTTGAGCTTCTGTTCTCCAAAAAGAAGATGCATTTCTTGTTCACAAGTATCTTCACAAGTATCTTCTGGAGCCCCTTCAGTGTTTGTCCAATAGCACTCAAGTATTGCATGTCTACACCTGCACTTAGTTGAAATGTACACATGTACACACACATATACACTCTTAGAAATCAAGGTGCTAACTTGAACCATATAGGGTTCTGTCATAGGTGAACCCTTTTTGGGTTCCTGGTAGATTCACCTGGAACCCGTTCAAAGGGTTGTACCTAGAACTGTATGTGAAAAGTTCCAAACAGAACCCATTATGAGAGGTTTTACAGAGAACCCTTCTGTGCAGAACTTTTTTTCCTTCTCAGGGTACCAACCAAACCCACCCCGGGGTTCTACCGACACTACAAGGGTTTCTTCTTCAACCCACTCACATTGACAAACCTTTTATATTCCAAGGGTTTCATCGAGATCCCACTCAGGGGATTCTACCGAGAACCCTTTTGTATTCATTCCAAGGGTTTCACGGAGGATCTTTTAACACCCATGCTTTCAACAATCCTTGAAAACCCCTTCCTTCCAAAAAGGGTTCTTTGGATGAAAAGTCTTCTTATTGGTTCTTATTCTTACAAAGAACCCATTAAAACCCAAACAAGGGTTCCTAAGAAGCAAATGGTTCTGGGTAGAACATCAGCTACCTGCTCTGTGAACTGTTCAATATGTACTAAGATTTTTATATTGTTGATTTAGATCTAATGTTCATGAATGTGCTTGTTAAGATGAGAAAAGTACTTCTTGTCAGTGAAAGCTTTTAAGGATCCACACGCCAACAAAACTGTATGAAAATGTTCCTCCAAAATAAAAGAGACTACATTTGAGTTATCCGGCAGTGACTGACAATCGCAAGTGCCCCATAATAATTCAGGACTGGTACTCACTGAAACATGTTCAAAGTGATTGTCGCTATAGAGGCCTTATCATGCCACGAGGCGAACCGCACGCAGCACTGTAAGCTCACTTTAGTCGATAATCAAGTTGTAAAAAAGAGGCTCAGTGCAACAAACACGAGTCCCGATGCATCTTAATTCATTGGAGAGGCGAGGCTGGAATGTTTGAAAGCTTTTTAAAAACATTTCACAGTGATAAACTATTTGCATAATTTGGATAATGAATAAGTAGCAGTGCGAAATAATACATCTTCCTTTTAGTGTCTCAGAAACGCATAAGGCTGAGGATCCACCTTGGAAAGCACCTGTCTTTTTTCATTAAAAAGTGTATTTTTCCCCATTTACCATAACGCTTCACAATAACAAGAGTGTGTTCTAATGCAGCCCTGTAAAAAAAAAACGCGGCAGATTTGCCCCGCGGTCATAAATTACAAGCAGACAACGCGTGATTGCCTCTCAAAGGGAAAACAAGTGGATGAGACAGGTTTAGTGAGAATTATTCAAATGAATTGCTCTTGTTTGCATAGAGAAAAGGGGGATTTTGAAAAGATGGGCTGCCGAGAATGGGATCGGTAATTCCTTTTTGCAGCCAACATATTTATGAGCACCGGGTTAATTCCCCTTTTCACGGAGACATGTCAAGACTCCCGATGCGCTCCTCCTCCTCTTCCTCTTCCTCACGTCTGCAGGCATCTTATGTATGATTGACTGTGACTCATTCCCAGTATGTATGGAGAATGTAGGGTGAATATGGACCCGCTGTTGAATACACCACTCAATTGAAGTGTGTGATTTACATGTTTTATGATGCCTTTTATATCATACAACCTATGAGAAAGACAATAAAACTCTATTGAAGTGAAGATCCCTTTCAGTGGTGTTTGGGGGGGCTTTCAATACGACAGTTGCTTGTTCTCTATTTGCCTAGTACCCCATTTTGCATTGCCCAAAGGCTTTAAATAGACAACACGTTAATGCAAAATACTTTGCCTGCAAATATTATCTCATTTAAGTGCTTTTATTGTGAAAGGTAAGAAGAAAAGGAGCAGATCTGGCCTACGCTATCTTTGTCAAGGTGGAAAGGACTAATAATGTCTGCCGCTTTGGTTCTGACTCCAGAGGCTAGTTGTTGCATCATAAATAGAGGTGCAACTCAACCCGTTCCCCACACTTTAATTGGATAATGCCTTCATATAATTAAATCAATAATTAGCTAATGTTAATGTGCAATTAAAGTCATCAAACAAACACATTGTACTGAACGGGTTTTGTGAAATAAGACTTTTTGTGATACTATTTAATGCTGTCCTCTATTTGATACTATCTATTTATGGTTAACCTCTCTATAGAGTTGAAGTCAATAAGAGGTGCAAATCAGAGCAGTAGTGAATTGAAAATGACCACATTTCCTATGTATTATGTATATATGTAGACGTGTTATCAGTTAAGTAAAATCCCTATAGCTTTCTGCCTGTAACATAATGTTGAAATCTGTGATCGATGGTTCCTATGAAGTGCATGTTGGGAGTCATGATTAACTTCACTGCCTGCATATTTGGTAGAGTGCACCGGCTTGTTCTTTCGACGATCAAAGAACCAGATCTTTTCGAACGCAGTTCTTCATCTTTTGACGGACCAGTTTAATCAACACAGACAATTGGCAAAGTCAGAGACCGAAGGAGGAGAAATTTCTGAACAAACGAAATATGAAAATAACTGAAACCCAAAAAGCAGCCTGAACTCATCCCCAAAATGCAATACGATTTGAGAGGAGAGCAGAACTCTAGTCCTCGACCACTCAATTCAAAAAACTGATTCTGCACATACAAATCTCAATCATTGCTCTACGGGCTGTAAGCAGAGGAGAGCATCTCAGGAAGAGAAACAATCAAACCCTGGCCTTTCTCGAAAAAAAAGCAAGAAATTGAGACGCTCCCTGTCAAAGATGCACATTTAAAAGCAAGCGTAGCGTCTTAAAAGGAACACACCATGATCTATAGCTCTATTGCACTTTGAGTGATAGGACAGCCGGCTTACAGCCAGGAAGGCCGTGTGTACGTGTGCATCTCCTATCAGTCCATCATGTGTTGCATTCTGGTAGAAAATCACAGGCGGTGTTGACATACAGTGGAAATCTATCATCCTCGAGCTTCACAGCCCCGAGCCGTCCTGCTGAGAGTGCGCTCGTCAAATGCGCAGGTCTATACCTAATCTGCTCTACATGTGGCCGTCCGGTAGTTGATGGAGTTGGAGATGGCCCTGAACAGCCAGACTTTCTTAAATAACCGCCCCGGGAGTGATCGATCAAAGGCGACAAAGCAGTTAGATCATTAGAATAGTTTTGTTTGTATCAATTTAAAGCAGCGGTTCCAAACCACTTGTACTCTACTATGTTTGTTGTTGTCAGGGAGTACTTGGAAAACATTGTAGAGTTGCGCAACTAATTTCACAAAATAGAAATTACGACTTTTTAAAAAATATCGACACCTGAACAATATACGCTGCAACTGAAAGTGCGCAAAACTTGTTGTAAGCAAAGCAGCAGAGAAAAATACGCGAGGTGTGAGCAGCCCTCTTACACAAAAAGATGGGTCATTAAGTGTTGATATTATTTTTTAAGCTTGACCAATGACACACTTCCAATGCGTTGGGAAGAGAGTTTTGGGGAAATGTTGAAGTGTGCTCTTATATGCATGCAAAATGACCTCTATCACAATTGTTGGAATTTTGTCCAGAATTTGTTCCTTTGTTGCTGATGAACAAGATTGGTATGAAGGTTGGTAAGATTAATTGATTTAAAAT